TTTAGATATTCTATGATGATGTCATTGTCAATGTAGCAAATGAGAATTATTTCAGCAAACTTGTGAATTTATACAGAATTTATTTAATACATTGATGTAAACTCTCAATAAAGGTAATTATAATAGTTTCAATTAGTTTCTTACTTTGTGCTGATTTCATATTTATTTGATCATTCTATTAAACAGTTGTAGGAACTATAGACAACCTGCTTAATGCTGTGTTGAACCATTAGTAGGGTTTCAAACTTTATTTGTGACAATCCGAATCCATTATAAAAATAATAAAATATATTCTAATAAATCATTTTTATATGAATTCATTGAATTAATAGGCCTATCTTGTTATTAATTCTAAAATGCTTCTATCTTAATTTTAGACTGTTGCTGAAAATGGCTGCAAAGTCAAACGCTGTACCACTGACACGCACTCGAACTGCTGTTTGGCTGATTGGTCAACCTGAAAAGGACCTACCGAGTAATGTCCTTCCGACAACGGGCGATGTTCTTCGTACATTTTTCCATTACCACAAAACAATAAAACAGACAGTATCTGCCAGTGCAAAGTCAACCTCATCTGATTTGGTAAAAATTTGGAGCAAGGCACGGATACCAATGACCTATCAACCACATATCGTGTCAAAGGTGAAGGTATGCTTTGATGAATACAGTTTGATCAAGAAGAATAAAGGAAGAGAAAGTGAATCACAGCTAGCTAGAGAAAAAGCATTTAAAGACAAACTGAATCTACTCTTTGATATTGCTCACAAAGATACAGGTACATTAATCAAAATCGATGAAGACAAGCTGTTTTTGGAGGATCAGCGGAATGCTCGCATGATGAAGATGAGTGGAGAAGATGTAAGATTATCACAACAAGAAGAGCGAGCAGCACAGCGTCGACAGGCTGAAGCTGAAAGGAAACAGCGTGAGGAAGAAAGGAGAGATGCAAGTGCCAGAAGCAGCCATCACAATCATGGTCTTGAAAGCGACAGTGACGGAGCAGAAGAGGAGGATATTGAAGATGATGATTACGAAATAGAGATACCAGTATATCACAAGAAGCAGCTATGTGAGGTAGTGGATGCTGGACATGAATGGACTACAGTTAACAAAAGACCACGCATTTTGGAGAACATTCTGTCGTCACCAGATGTTTCATCAACACTTGATCGCATAAATTTATCTGACCAGAAGTTTACAATTTTGGCAGCAGCAATTGCTAAAGCCAGTGGACAGGACCTACAAAGCACGCCATTGTCAAGATCAACAGTACGTCGCAAACGTATTGAACACCGATCTTCAACAGAAAATTGTATTCGGCAGGAGTTTCTCTCCAGTGAAAAACCGCCTCTGGTGGTCCACTGGGACGGTAAAATCATGCGAGACAGCACGAACTTAGAGGATCCAAAGTCCAATGTTGACAGAATTGGTGTTAGTGTGACTGGTGTAGATTTGGAGAAAATCTTGGGAATTGTCAAGCTTCCAGCGGGCACTGGGGTAGCACAAGCCAAGGCAACATTCCAGTTGGCCAAAATATGGGATGTTGATAGTGAAATCGTTGGCATGTGCTTTGACACCACAGCTTCGAATACGGGCTCCAAAAATGGTGCATGTGTCTTGCTGGAACAACTAATTGGGAGAAACCTTCTATACTTAGCTTGTCGACACCACGTGCATGAAGTGATTATTGGTGAAGTGTTCACAGTTTTGCTTGGCCCAAGCCGTGGCCCAAACATTGCTCTATTTGAACGTTTTCAGCAGTCTTGGCCAACTATTGACCAAATGAACTTTGTTCCACTTGATGATACGCGACTTACAGTTCCACAGCTGCAACAACTCAGAGCAGAATTTGGTCCTTTCTTGCTGTCTTTTCTGTCAGGTCAAACGTCATATCTACCACGAGAGGACTACAAGGAAATGATTGAACTTTGCCTCTTGATATTGGGTTTCACACTACCAAGCCATCCAGCTGGTGGAAAGCCATATCATTTCAGACAGCCGGGTGCCTACCATATGGCAAGATGGATGGCAAAGGTCATATATTGCATGAAGATTTTCCTGTTCAGGAATGAATTCAAACTGACTTCAACTGAGGTGAAAAACCTGTCTGAATTTTGCATTTTTGCAGCTCACATTTATGTACCAGCTTGGATTGCTTGTCCAGTGGCAAGTGATGCACCATTGAATGATTTGATGCTGTTTCAGAGAATAAAAAGATATGCTGAGGTACACAAGATTGTTTCACAAGCAGCTTTGAAGAAATTGCAGAATCACATGTGGTATCTTGGAACAGAAATGGTTCCTCTTTCACTGTTCTCCAGCAAAGTATCTGATGAAGAAAAGAAGTTGATTGCGGAAGCCATGATCCTCAGTGGAGATGATTGGAGTGTCAGGGGAAACAAGTTTCCAGTATCAAAATGTAATGAGTTGGAGAAAAAGCAACTACATGAACTGGTAACATCATCATCAACAGCTGCATTGCAGTCACTTGGACTTGACATAACTACCTTGTCAGGACTTGAGCCCCCGAGTTGGGAAGAAAGTGCTTCATTTCGAAAAACCAAAGCTGTTGTTGCTTCTCTCAAGGTTATCAATGATACTGCCGAGCGCTCTATTGCACTGATGAGTTCTTTAAACCAGTCAATAACAAAGACAGAGTCTGAAATGCAGAAACTCCTCCAAGTTGTTGAGGACAACAGGAAGCGCATTCCAGATTACCGGAAAAGCACCCTGATGGCATATGCCCCTCGGTAGACGTCGCAAGCTTGAAAACTGAAATAAGTTGAACTTTGAACACGTGAACAATAAATGAGCATGCAATAAAAATCTGAACGAACATGTTTAAATATTGCTGTTAATTTCTTTGATATTAATTTTGATAAATTAAAAATTGTTAATGTGTGACTGATTGTGTCTGCACTGTCTGTGTCATAACCAGTATGTCTTTTTGAAATGAATAGTAATGTATCTATCACATTTTATCATCTTGTGATTCTAGTTTGAAGATTTCAGTCAAAAAAGTGCAGCCGCGGCAAGTTTATCTGTACTGTTAAACTTCACCTCCATTGAGCAACTTGTAAATATCAAAATATAAATGCCAAAATTTGCATAAAAGTTAGTTTCCATCAAAGGAACAAAATGAGATACTGTGCTAGGTTGAATTCAAAAATTTTTTTTTTTGGACATACCTAATGACTATATTGAACAAACACGTCATCTAATTAATCTAAAAAAATTAATCGAATTAAATAAAGGGAAAAATGCATCACATTTATAAACTGCAAATCAATTTATTTATGCATAATAACATAACAAAATGTTTGAAAAAAAGTTTTATTTACAAAAAATATACTAACTACGTCTGCACAGAGGCAATTTTATGGGGGGTAGGCGTTACACCCTCCCCTCCTAAGTAGGCGATTTTTAAGTTATAGTCGGGTTTTTTTACGGATTTAGTCAGCAACTTTGATTTTAAAGACTTTTTTTTTTTTTAAGACACCAGTCGGTACTTTTCAAAGTCTCCCCTCCCCTCCCCCTCCCCCATCATTTTTTTTGTAAAATCGCCTCTGCATCGGCATCATTAATTATCAATTGGTAGATTAACCAATTATAAAAATACTAATTAAGGTCAACTTAGCTTTAATAAAACTAACATCCTGCGATAATACAGTTTTAATAAACCTATAAAACAGAACATGTTTCATTAAGTAACATTTGAAGTAATTAAACTTTAGAAACTTTAAAACGATTAAAAAACTAAAAAATACATACTATTTACAAATAAAAGTATATTCATTAAAAGTATATAAATAAAATAAAAGTATAATCATTTCGTTTATGATAATTATAATAGAAAATTTAAAGACATTTCAGAAATTTATAAAAGTAAAATAGGAAATACAAAATACTAACAGCGTGTATCATATCTACAGCGTATTTATACATTATATCTACAATGATTAACATTTATACATCGTATCTACAATGCCTTGTGCCTTATCCGTTGAAAGCATCCAAGTCTCTCTGATATTATACAGAGTATAATATTATTTTGATAGTTATCTAAATTCTGTCAATGTTGCGCACACGTTTTAGAATGATTAATGGGGGTGTGGTAAAATAGCTGTAAAACTTTAAATTTCTTTATTACCTTGATATTATGTATTTTAACTTATTACTTTATTTAATTAAAACTTATAGTGTTAATAAAATGGTTTATTTCAAATATAAAGTTGAAATTTTGAATTATGTTTTTAATAAAAACATATTTTTCAAACCCCCTAATTGATTATGATTGCTGCGTGGCAAGTTTAAATCATAGGCTTGCCTTTTTTTTTAATATTTGTTATTTAAAATGCAAAACAAATTCTTTTAAACCAAACTTTCTACTTCAAAGTGTTTCACAAAGTATTTTAGAAAAATAAAAAAAGATATTTAAAAAAAAAAGGCCGCTGGCAGGAATAGAACCTGGAACTCTAGCTGCAGAGCATTGCGTACTAACCACTCGGTTACACCGACTTATTCACTGATAAAGTTTTAAAAAGTATATAAAATAAAAAAGACTTTATCAAATAGAATTAAGTGCTACAGATCAGGCGATGTTGCCACAATGCAATTTTCCAGTGAAAGTAAAATTGGAAAACTTGATATATATTTTAGTATGTTTTTAACATTACAAATTTGAAGAAAGTTAGATATTTACGTAAGTTAGATAATAGCATACACTTTCATTGACTTTTCTTATATAAAAAAGTGCTGCTACTCTTTCTCGCTATTACCTCAGTTGCAATGGCTGCCAAGAGTATCGTTTCAAACACTCTCCAATGAGTATCAAATTCGCTATTATATATTAAGATTAGTTATTTTTACACAACTTCATTTTGTTTTATTTTTTTTCCTGATCCTAATTATTTGGTTTTTCATTCATGATAATGAAAATAAACATATAAAATAACAATTTTAAAATTTTAAATTTTAAAGCCTTAAACTAAATTTTTTAGTGCTTTGGAGGCTGGTATTACTATTTTTCAAGAGATTGGTCTTGATCCTGGTATTGATCATTTATTGGCTATGAAATGTTTTGATGAAGTAAAAGAAGATGGAGGAAAGGTATTTATTATGTCCATTTGTGTTTATTTTTTCTGTGTAAAATTTTTGTTAAAGTATAAAAATCTTTCTGTCAAAGTATGATGCCTCTCTCTAATGTCTTAAATGGTTTGATTTGCTTACCTTATTCTGCTAATACATGAAATTTATATGTATTTGCATTCACACATGCAAGTACTTATAAATGCTTCATATATGTCAGCATTCGGCAATGCCGACCTAAAAAAAAACCGACCTGAAGGTGTTTGAAATCGGCAAGAAATTGCTGACCTCGTTCTATTTTTTATGGTCAGACCTTTGTATCAAGTAATTTTTGCGGACCTGATGCCGCCCTCGAAAATATTGAGGTCGGCAATATTATTACCGACCTCATTTTTCCTAATTCCGAGGGTTGTATATATATATATATATATATATATATATATATATATATATATATATATATATATATATATATATATATATATATATATATATATATATAGATATATATATATATATACTATAAAATAAAATCCAAACTTATTGAAATTATTATTTAAAATTTAGATTTTAAATAATAATTTCAATAAGTTTGGATTTTATTTTTAAATCTTGAAGGTATTTTATTATTAATTTTCTAAAACATTTTAGATGCATTTTATAATTTTAAATTTTAATTTTTGTTTAAGTTTTAGATGTTTTGGTCATATACATTAAAAATGTGATTTCTTTTAAATATACAGGGTGACAACCATAAGGTGAAACACATAAAGTAAGCTATATTTTCAAATTTAAGAGTTATATTTATTCGAAAGTGGTATCAATAGAAAGCTACAAGTGTATTTAACAAGTTTTATTGGTTTAATTCGAACCTGTCGCCCTCTGCTTTTATGCAGGCTCGACATCTCTTGAAAAAGTTTTCACACGGGGCACGCACGGTTTCTTGTGGCATTTTGTCCCAAATGTCGATCAAAAGTTCCTTGAATTGGTCCAAAGTTGTTAATTTATGCTTCCCCAGTTCTTGTAGCATGTATCCCCAGACAAAGAAATCAAGGGGATTGAGGTCAGGACTCGAAGCAGGCCATTCTTTGGTATCGATAAAATCTGGGAAATTTTGCTTGCAGTAATCTTGAACAACAATAGCCTTGTGTGCAGGGGCAGAATCTTGCTGGAACACCCATGGATCGTCACCATACATTTCTTTAGCCTTAGGTTCAATCAAATCTTTGATCACATTCTGTAAGTAGTATTCTTTGTTAATTTTCACCCCTCTATCGATAAATTTCAGAGGAAATTTCCCCTTTTTTGAGATGACCCCAAATACCATGACCGCCAAAGCGTTCTGATAACGAGGGACAGTTCTAACGTTTAAAGGAACATCAGAGAGCTTTACAGCATAAACTCTGTCATTTTGTCTGTTCAACGGGCGCTCCAAAGTAAACATTTTCTCGTCCGAAAAAACAATATCTGCACCACCGTGCCGCTTCAATAGCGATTTGCAACGCTTGACTCTTTCCACCTTGTTTTTGTCAGTGAGGCCGGCAATTTTTTGTTTACGGTAGCACTTAAGTCTTAAATCTTGTTTTATAACCTTTTGCATAGAGGTATATGACATGTTCAGCTCTTTAGCTAGCTGCCAACCTGAGTGAGCAGGATTTCTTTGTAAATGTTCTCTTACCACTTTGATGATTGCTGGAGTGCGCTTGACGCGCTTTCTTTTTCTAGTTTTAGCTGGAATTATTTGCCCAGTAGTTTTGTAACGAGAAATTGTTCAACTAATCAATGATTTGCTGACTTTTATATCATTTAGGCATCTCCAAATATCAGCTTGACTTAAATTTTTTTTGTGTAATGAAATTATCAGCTCCCTGATAGGATTTAGATCTGTATTTTTCATACAATCCCTCATTTTTTCTTCCTCAAATTTTTAAAACTTTTTCTAAACAAATGTCAAAACAAACTGTAAACAAGGGGAAAGTCATATGGTACGGGGTTAATAAATGATTGGGGTTCGAAAATGTGTTTCACCTTATGGTTGTCAGCCTGTACAATTATTTTCTTTGCATACTGTAGGCATATATACATATATATATATATATATTTATTTATATATATATATATATATATATATATATATATATATATATATATATATATATATATAGATATATAGATATATAGATATATAGATATATATAAGTATATATAGATATATAGATATATATAAATATATATATATATATATATATATATATATATATATATATATATATATATATATATATATATATATATATATATATATATATATATATATATATATATGTATATATATATATATATATATATATATATATATATAAATATATATAGATATATATAAATATATATAGATATATATATATATAAATATATATATATAGATATATATATATATGTGTGTGTGTGTGTGTGCCTACAATTTATTTATTAAAATTAGTTTAGGTTCATAAATAAATTACACATGTAAATATTTATTCTTACACAACAAATAACACTAAAATATTTTAAAACGTTTATCAAACACATTTTTTATATGAAATTTGTTTTGATACTTTTTTTTATTGAATTATTTAAATTTTTATTGTTTATTTTTGAAGGTTGTTTCTTTCTTGTCATATTGTGGTGGTTTACCAGCTCCAGAAGATGCAGGAAATCCTTTGAGATATAAGTTTAGGTAAAAAAAAATTTTTGCTTTTTTCTACTTCTTTTTTTAAATTTATTTCATTCTTTTTTATATTATTTTTTTTAAATTTTATTTTTATTTTAGCTGGTCGCCTCGTGGTGCATTAATGACTGCATTGAATGGTGCATGCTATATGCAAGATGGAAAAGTAATTATTTTACTTGTTTAAATATATTATTGTTATTTTTTTATTTTTTTTATTTGATGTTATACTTATTTAAGTTTTTGTACTTTAAAGTAATTTGAAAGTTTTGTAAGTTTTTGACATGTTACATGATATAGAGTAAAATGGGGTCAAATGGAATAGTTAAGGATTTTAATTATTTATTTTTTTACAAAAAAGATTTAGTTTTTTATGAAACTTTATTTGATTAAAAAAAATTTATTCCATTCTACATTTGGAGAGAATGAAATACGCAAAATATGTGTAATTAAAAATTAAAAAAATTAATCAATAATAGCAATTAAAAAATCAATCAAATAAAATAAACTTTTTAATTCTTGTCATGATGTTGAGTTGTATAAAGGTACTATAGGTTGAATTGAGTTTTTAGTTTTGCGGCACTTTTCGGTGCAATAAAACTCAGCCCCTTTTACATATCGTTTTGGTATTCATGTTTGACATAGCCAAACCTTGGATTGTTTGATTTTTCACACTGGTATCATTCTATATTTTGATTTGCTGAAGCTTCGAATAAAACCTTTCATCACTTTTTACACTTAAATTGGTTTGCAGTTAATACTTTCTATTTATAATATTTTATAATATTTGCTGTTTCCCATTAGAACTAAATTTACATTGTTTTTTAGCTTGCTTTGCTTCTTTTTTGCTCTCAGCATCTTTTAACCTTTCAAGTATTTCTCTCCTTCGAATCTTGGCACATCTACATTTTTTCTTTTTTTTGTGTGTCAACGAGTTGAATACAAAACATTTGTTGCAAAGCTGCTGCAGGTGATTGGGCTGATTGCAGTTGTTTTTTAACCTCTTTTTGAATTTCTTTTTGAATAGCCAGAGTTACTACAATATTGAAGGTTGTTTGCAGACAGGGTGACTTTTGAGGTGACTTTGGAGCTGATTCTATGTGACATATGCTGATGCTAGATGTTCGTGTAGATTCATTTATTGAGGTGCTAGTATTGATGATGGTACTATCTTAGATTCTGGTTATTGAGATGATGAAGGCTCAGGTTCAGGTGACGGTGTTTCAAACATATTAGCAATTTGTAACTTTAACTGACCGATTTTATTGATGTCAATTGGAAACAAGCCAGTATTCTAAAACCAAGTGACTATTGGGTACGTGTGAAAACTTCACCAGAGCTGAAAAGTTTTTTTTGCAGGTGACTATAACATTCTTTTGATAAGCTGCTGAACTTTGTCTCTGCATAAAACTGAAGTGAAAATTTGAGAGTTTAGCGCAAATTACTTTAAGTAACTGAAGTTACTTGAAGTAATTTGCAGCAATAAACACCAACATCTAGTGGCTGCAGAATATGTGACAAATGAGCTGGTAAGTAACTCAACAAGATATTGCTTTCAATGCAAATAAGTACGACCTGATAAGTGATGTGACATGTTCTCTACAATTAAAAATATTTGCAAAAAGATTATCCAATAATTAAATAAGAGCAAAAGAACAAACATTGTCATAATTATTGCATTCTGCTCGCTATTTCATTTTACCATGTTTTACTCTACATGATTTTTGAAAATATTTTTGGCGTATAATATATTTTGATATTTATTTATATTATATTTATTTATATTTTTGATATTGTTTATTTATTTTTATACATGCTTGCATATTTTTAGATAATGAAAATTGAGCCAGGTCAACTGTTTCAAAGTTGTAAGCCATTGGATTTTTTCCCTGGTTTTAATTTAGAAGGTTATCCAAACAGAGATTCTACTGCATATATTGAAAAATATGGTCTTAATGATATTAAAACTATGCTACGTGGTACAATGAGATACAAGGTTAAAATTGAATTGTAGCAGTTTTTGTTTAAAAAAAATGCACAAATGTTTCAAATGTTTCAAAAAACTTTTCAAATCTTTAACTTTTCAAAATGATTATAGGATTTTTCTGTTGCTGTGATTGGAATGTTAAAACTTGGTTTACTCAATCCCAAAAAGGTGCCAGGTTTTGAATCAGGAACATCTACTACATGGGTTAGTTCATTTAATTTATATAAATAACTTCATTACAAACTTTAAATCACTTCAATTAATCAAAATAAAGTTTGATTTTAGGGTAAATTAATCAATATTTTGTTGGGCAGCCACGATCTCCGTGGTGACAGTCTTAGCATTATTGTGTATGACAAAATTGGTCGAAATGACGTTTCTTTAAAAGCAATACAAGAGTAAGTTATAAAACTTTGATTTAAACTCATTAATTAGAAAATCATTTATAAATAGTAATGTTTTCTGTTTTATAGTCTGGGATTAATCTGTAGCGAGACAAAAATTGAGGCTAAAGATACTCCATTGGATACACTTGCTGATTATCTTTCTAAAAAACTTATATATGGTATAATTTATGCTTATGATTTTATTATCTGACAAAAGTCACTTATTTAAGTACACAATTTTCAGGTTATCAATTGAGCCTGTAGCAGGGGCCCATGTATGTACACTTCTTGCATGTTCTCTCTAGTTAAGTCAGTTTATGTATGTATACCTCGTTTATCCCTAAATAAATCAGTTGTTAAAACAAAAACCATTAAAAAAAATTAAATATAACTTAAAACTGAATTAAAAACAATAACAAAAAACTAATATTCTGAATAATAAAACAAACATTCTAGTCAATAAAGTTTTATTAAATATAAATGTATTTATATTGAATATAAATGTATTTATATACAATATATTTAAATGAGTTATACAATGTTTTGTCAAAGTAATTACAAGTGTGATCATTCTTTATTACACTTTAAAGTTTTTATTTAATGGAGTGATCATGAGATTTTTGTGATATTCAACAATGAACTATAAACTGCTCTTCAGCTTTATTGAGTGTTAATAGATTGTCTGTTGCTTACTTAAAAACTCAATAGAGTCATTAGTGATTTTCGTGATTTATGAGTCATTTGTGATTCTTAGTGATTTTCATGATTCATGAGTCATTGGTGATTATAAGTAAGAAAAATTGGAGTGTTAAGTGACAGTCTTTTCCTGAACGAGTGCAATTAATTTTGGGTTATTTTTCTGAGTTCAATTTTTATTGGTAGTATGGTCAGAGCAGCAATCATGGCTTATATCTCACTATTTGGGTCAAGTCAGAAATTAATGCATCTCTAATACTTTCTTTGCACAGATGTTATATATTTCAGTACATTTTCTTGAAAGAATTACCTGTCAGCAGCAGAATAAAAAACTTTTCTCCAAGCTGACAAAAGAACATCAGAACTATTTCATATGGAGCATCAGAACTATTTCAATTTTGATCAGAGTTTAAAGTTGACAAAGATCATTATATGGAGCATCTGAACTGTTTGGCAATTAAGCTTTAAATGACTATTAATTACATTAGATAAATTTAAATCATCATAATGAAAAGGCAGCAACAGAAGCATAGCAACAGGACCATAGCAACAGGAGTTTTTATGGCAATTAAGTAGTATCAATAAGTTTCTAATGTTCTTTTAACTGACTAAATATTTTAATCTGTGGTTCTGAAGACTAGAAAAACTGATAAAATCATTTGGCAGCCAAATTAATTTTAAAGACATGATGCTTAAAACAGGGATTATCTTTTTCCTGATATTTCTGGAATTCCTCATATTTTTCTCAACATGTAGTTTTTCCAGATATATAAAATGTTTTCCATACATTCAAGTTTAGGTGTATATTTTTGTAATATATTTGTTTTTTAAACTTTTTTACTTACCACTCATGCAAAAATTAAGAAAATTTTGGAAAAAAATATTGGAAACAACTCAGCTAAAAGCAAAATTAAGAAGAATATAAGGCAAATTATATTCCAGATTTTTTCAGGATATTATACCCAAACAATTTTCCAGAATTTAAGAATATGACCTGGATGATCTATGGTAAAAACAGTAAATGTTTAAAGCTAAAAACAGTAAATGTTTTAAGCTAAAAACAGTAAATGTTTAAAGCTAAAAACAGTAAATGTTTAAAGCTAAAAACAGTAAATGTTTTAAGCTAAAAACAGTAAATGTTTAAAGCTAAAAACAGTAAATGTTTAAAGCTAAAAACAGTAAATGTTTAAAGCTAAAAACAGCATTATTGTTATTATTATTAATTATAATATATATTTATTATTATTTATATTTATATTATATATATTTATTATTATAATTTATTATTAATTATAGTATTTATTTATTTATTATTATTGTTATTATTATTATTGTTATTATTTTGTTCTTATTGTTCTTATTGTTCTTGTTATTGTTCTTAATTTGCTATGTCAAAACAAATACCTGCCAGCAAATCAGAAATACCATTCTGTTTTTTTAACAATTTAAGAATCAATTCCCATTAGCTCATCAGCAGGTATAAAAATTCATAAGCCAGATGAATTTTTATACTACTCAAAGATTTTAATAACTTTAAACACCCACAACATTTCACCATATAATTGTGGTTTGTTTTAAAGATATAAACATTTTAACTTTGCCTTATACCAACAAAACCCTTTATTTCTCTTCTGTGAGCAATGGATAGCCAAAAATGTGAACATAACAGAATAAAATAAAAAGTTCATTTAGTCATTAAGAAATTATATCTGTATATATTGAATCTATTTTAAGTAATCAAAGTTCTAACAACATGATGACATGCGAACAATTGGAGTGAACAACTTGATGACATAGTAAACATTGAGTGATTATATTACTATAACTAATAAATTTTAATTTATTGAAAATTTTTATCTCATTGTTGTTTCTTAAGTTTTAAATAAAGTTGAATTATTGTAATTCAAACTTCTATAATTTGATTTTATTTTCATTTAAAATTCATTTAAGTCAAACAAATTCTTCATCCCCTTCAGGGTTTAAAATTTAGGATTGAACTCCTATGACCTTTTGAGAATTTAAATTACATGAGTTCAACTGTATGTACTTTGTCTTAAAGTCTACCAATAAAGACTTTGAGAAATGTCTTTATACAAATAACGACTTTAAGACTGATAGGTTTAGACTGATATATTTTTTATATATATATATATATATATATATATATATATATATATATATATATATATACACACAAACATATATATATATATACATATATATATACACACAAACATATATATATATATATATATATATATATATATATATACACAAACATATATATATATATATAAAAATATATATATACACATATATATATATACACAAACATATATATACAACCCTCAGAATTAGGGTCGGCTTTCGGCAATGCCGACCTAACTGCTGACCTAAAAGTGCGGTTACCAAAAAATCGTCGACCTTGTTTTGATGTTTTATGGTAAGACCTTTGTATCAAATTTTTTTTCCAACCTGATGCCAACCTCTAGAAGATTGAGATCGGCAAATTATTGCCAATGTCAATTTTCCTAATTTCGAGGGTTGTATATATATATATATATATATATATATATATATATATATATATATATATATATATATATATATATATATATATATATATATATATATATATATATATATATATATATATTATTTTAAAACATCAAAAATACGATTTCTCTCAACACTTATAATTTTTTTATTATTATAGAAATTTTCGCTGGATTTTAGATACCAGCTTCTTCAGCTTGTTAAATGTTACAGTAATTAGTAAACCGTTATATAAATATACTCTCACACAAGATGTTATCCTTTAAATCATATATATGTATATATATATATATATATATATATATGTATATATATATATATATGTATATATATATATATATATATATATATATATATATATATATATATATATATATATATATATATATATATATATATATATATATATGAAAGTCTTTATTTATTGATATTTGAATCTTTTTTTTAAAGCAAAAGGTGAGCGGGATTTAGTTCTATTACGTCACCAAATTGGAATAGAATGGCCAAATGGTAAAATGGTAAATATTTCAGGTTCCTTAAAATATTTAAATTATCATATCTCATTGAGAAAACTTTGTGTTTTATTTAAAGTATCTGCAGAGAATGGATTATATTATGCTGTTGTAAAGTTCTAAGATTTTGCTAATGTTGACCTGTAATAAATAACTGCAACAAAATTTTGTAAAGTTTCAGTTAGCTAAGTAAGGCAATCTTGTGCCAAGCTAAAATCCTTTGGACTTTAACAATAACAACTTTAAACAATAACTATTTTTATGTTAAGAATATGTTAAAGCAAATACAAAACTAACTTTGAATTTCAGGAAACACGCAATATTAGTCTGGTTGCTTATGGAGATCCTGATGGTTACAGCGCAATGGCTAGGACTGTGAGTATACCAGCAGCAATTGCCGCCAAAATGATATTAGATGGTATGTTTTCAATGGGTTGCTATATTTATTAAGTATAAAAATATAAATTAATAGTATATTATTTATACATGTATATATGTTTTGTACATGTATATGTTATGTATACATGTATATGTTGTACATGTATATGTATATTGTACATGTATATACATTTATATATGTATATTAGTTAAATATAATAATAATATTAAAAATATTACTATTATAAAATATTACAAAATTTAATTATAATTTTTAAATCTTAAACATTAAATTTTTGAATATATATATATATATATATATATATATATATATATATATATATATATATATATATATATATATATATATATATATATATACTTATATGTTTATATATATACTTATATATTATAGTTCACAATTTATTTGACTGATGGTCATTGCAGTCTTAAATTTTTTGACTCTTTTGAGCATTTAAGACTTTAGAAGTTTACAATTAAGTTAATTTAGAAATTTTTTAGAAATGTTGTTGCTAATTTGTATCATTGTCAGTCCTTCTTTGCCATCCAAACAGTAAATGCTTAATCTAAATGTTTTGACAAAGTTTTTCTAATAGTTGCTCAAATAAAGCCAAAGAAAATGGGTTTTATTTTTAGTATTTTTAAAAATACTAGTTTGAAATATTTTCAAAAGGAACAATGTAAATTTTTTTTCTTTATTTTTTATTACTTTTCTTTTTTATTTAGACCATCTATGAACATGTTTTCATAATAAAGTTGCATATCAAAACCATTTTTTCTTCTTTATTTAGACCATCTATGACCACATTTATATAATAAATTTGTTATCAAAGCCATGTTTTCTTAGAACATAACTAGTAATGTATAAAATTGAAAGCAATAAATTTGGTTGTACTTTATCATTTAAAACTTGTTATCTTCTCATTTAAACCTTGAAAAAAATTATCCATATAAAAATATGTTTAAAAAAAAAGCGTTTAATGAATATTTAAATATTTCACTGAAAATGTTTAGATATTTTACTTTTGCATTTTTAATCTAATTGAAAACTAAAATCTAATTGGAATCATTTTTGTTCAAAACTACTGCCGCTAACATCAGGTTGTTGTCCATGATTAATGTGTATTTGATATAAACTTTATTAACCAGCAATACATATTGACATTGTGTTCAATACTTCTTAAAGCATTTTTTAAAAGTTCTATACTATTATGTGCTTTTGGTGTGATTCTTCAAATTTCTAATACTTGGTTATTTATAAATCAGGCTGCTGTACAGTGGATGTAGCAAACTGATGTAGCAAACAGTAGATGTAACTGGATGTCGCAAAAATTTTAAAATGCTAGAGGGTGATGCATAAGACACTGGACAAATTTTAATTTGTTACTTAACATTATAGTTATTAGAACACAACAAGCTTATTAATAATCATATGGTTTCACCCACATAAATGCACAAAATGTACCCACATCTATGAAATAATAATTATACTATTTAAAATTTTTTTTTATTAAAATTAATGTTAAATGCAGCAGTAAAAATCTTTTCAAAAATGTCTCAAAAACCTTTGTAAAAAATCAAATAATTTGATTAAAAAACTTCTTTGTAAAAAAATCATAATATAAAATAATTTCAAAGTTGTAAAGGAATAACACAAAATACGCTTTGTTATAACTTAAAAATGAAACTTGAAACTTGTCATTTAATTTCTTATAAAAAGAATTTTGGTTTCCAACATACTGGTTTAGATAAAAAGGCTAATCTAAAGAGACTTATAAGCAACCAAAAAGAGGTCAGTCAGAAAAAATTGATGCAAATCAATCGACAATTGGTTGTCAATTTAAAAGTATTTGATACAGAAAATGTGAAAAGATTCCCAAATACATCATTGAACAACAAATCATCAAATACATCATTGAACAACAAATCATCAAATACATCATTGAACAACAAATCATCAAATACATCATTGAACAACAAATCATCAAATACATCATTGAACAACAAATCATCAAATACATCATTGAACAACAAATCATCAAATACATCATTGAACAACAAATAAACTGGAAAAAACAGAAAACTTGTTAATCAGAGTAGCACGGAACTTTATTTTTTCTTTTTTTAAATATGTTATTTTTTAAATATATGTTTTTCTTTTTTAAAATATGTGCTTATATTCATCATGTATTATCATTGAAAAACAAAAATAGTTTATTAATCTATAAGTATGGAGTCCAAAGTCATAGTTTTGTGTTCATGATATGTATTTATAGACTGGTTTGGTAATAACAAATTGGTGTAATAATTACAGAATGGTGTTATAAAAACAGAGCGGTATGATAATAGCAGAGCGGTTCTTTTACTAAATTAGATAAAAGTAATATTTAATATTTGGTAAGCTGGTCTTTTTTCTCCATGTCTCGATCTAGAAAAGTTTTTAAGATTATTAAATTGTAATAAATCGTATTGAAGTTATACTTCAAAATACTCTCCATAATTTTCATTAATCTCTTACAATCTATTTATTGATGGACAACATAGAGTCGTCCTATGTTGGTTACTTCGGTTCGTCTTAGTGGAGCTATTCAAAAAAAAAAGGAAAAGCTTTTGCTGACAGTAGCTTGGAAAATGATGTAACTAGCAAATTAAGTTATATTAATATAACTATATTTATATATATCTACTATAATACTAACTATATATATTTATATATATCTACAAAAATCCACAGTATAGTTATCTTTTTTTAACGAGTCCGTTGTAAAATTAATGTTGTATGTTTAGATAAATAAAATATATGTTAAATATTCAGATGAATAAAATGTTAGATTTTTTGTAAAGGTTTTACAGTAGTTTTGGTGGTTTTATTGTCATATTTTAAATGATATTAACGTTTTAATTTTTTTTTACTGGTTTATTATGAATATCAGTAACAAACAATTAATATAAATAGTTTACTAAAGTTTTTATTTATTTAAATGCTGTCTTTTTATTTACAGGTGATGTTGCTACGAAGGGAAATATCATTCCATTAACAAAAGACCTTTATTTACCAATATTAAAAAATCTCGCTTTAGAAAACATAAAATGGACTACAAAATCAACGTTTCATTGAAAATCAAAAGAATAAAGTTCTTTAAATCTTTTTATAAAAAATTTATTCGCTAGTGAATGATATTTTGTATTCCTATTAATTGTAATATATTTATTTGTACTTTTTGACTAGAAATTTTTTATTAATTCATCTGAAACTTTAAAGAAAAAATTTTAACGACCGTTAGTAACTGTTAACTGTTATACCAGAACGGTTTAATTGTTCATTAAAAGCGGTGAGGTTAGAACTGTTTCTTTTGACTTATCAAAGGCTTTCAATAAAGTCAGGTCTTACTATATATACCACACTACATACACCATACTAAGCATGAATTAGATTAAAGCAATGTGGCAAGGACTTTATTTCAATAGAGTCTGGTCTTCTCCATACTAAGCTTTATCGGTGTATCATGAAAATTTTTAAATATAAAGAATCATTCCTTTCGTTCATCTTGGAATATCGCAAAAATTCTATCCTTGGTCTTAAAATTATTCCTCATTTGTGTAATTAATCTTATTGTTTTTCAAGTTTCTCATAAAACGTACAGTTCTGCTTATGAACAGACATAGTGAAATTCATCACTAGACTTGGCAGTGGCTGATAAATTTTTACGAAGCGCAAACAATTCAAATTATATACTATATACTTATATCTATATAATATAGAGCAAAAAATGAATGAGATTAATAGGAAAAAACAAAAATAAACATAAAATTATCAGTACCCAATGTAATAAAAATCAAAAATTAATTATTTAATGACCTAATAAAATTGCCATTTCATTTAACAAATTTTCGACGCTTTGAAAAGTATCTTTTTTAAAATATGTAAATCAAAAAATTGCTCAGGATTCTTCTCTAGACTCTATAAAAACAGCCGAAGTAATAACTCTTATTTTTAAATCAAGTGATCATACCAACCTAAAAAATAGTCGTCCTATTTCAGTTCTTCTATTTTCTTAGAAATATAAGAAAGAATAATATTTAACAGAGTCTACATTTATTTTGTTGATTGTAAACTACTAAATGATAATTAGTTTGGCTTGCGGAGAATCCAGGGTTTTGGGTTCTGGAGAATCCAGGGTTCAATTCATATTTGGGTCCGTATTATTTTTAATATAAATAAATTACCTTAACAAACTCTTTAACTTGAAGACTTTTTAATAATGTGACATAAGAATTAAATTTTATATTGGTTTTAAAAAAAATAGATTGTTCTTGACCATTGATAAAATGGTCACTTTTTAAACTCTTTTTCAGAAAAAATGGCCACATACAATGCCCGATATTTATTGATCTAAAATAAGATATAAAAAAATACTTTTTATTGATCCACTCGTAAAGCCTGTAGTCGAACGAGACCTTAGTGTGATGGTCTGCAAAGACCTTAACTTCAGGCCACAAGCTGCACCAATTGCAAAAAGAATGCTAGGGCGACTCAAAAAAAATTTTCGGAGTCGTAGTTTTTATTTTTTGGCGCACATTGTATCTTGTTTGCATTCGCCCCCACCTAAGTTAGACATTGCTATCTTCGAGCAAGTCTAACATCGAGCAACAACAACAATATCATCTATTAAACACCTGTCCTATGAAAATTGAACTCCAACAGCTTTTGTGTCTGATGTTTTTCATTTTTATCCAGAAAAATTGTTTCTCGGGTGTCAAGGATATCATTTTAATTTGCATGTAAAAATTTAGTTGAAATGACTCTGAAGGGAAATCCTAATCATTTTGTTCCACTTAGGCTTTTGATGGTTACTTTTCTGTCCTTTACTCCATCAATTACAATACCAGAACAATTTATCTTCCATTATGACTTGAAGTTATACAGAAGAAACCCAATGATATTGGATGCTTTTGTTTCAACTGTATTTACGTAAACCAAATTTAAAGGTTGTGCTGGACAAACAAACAAATAATAGAGCCAACCATAAGAAGACTCAAACCTTATAAATCTTTTTTGCACCAAAGTTTTTTTGCTCACATATCAAATAACTATTGCAAGTTGGTCACGATGTGCAGTGTCAGATGACGGTTTTTATAGGTATTCAACAACTCTTTTTTCAACATCCTTTCAGTAACGCTTTTCTTCCTCCAACTGCTGTTTCAAATGAGCATCAATTTTTCTTTTAGAGTAACTTTTTCAAAATAGAAATGAATTGCATCTGTGTGCTGTTTTCTTTGTTTGTGCTTTTATATAGATCGCTGTCTGTGTGACCAATCATCGAATTTAGTTCTAATGTTGTTATCTAACATGTACCTTCCTATCCAGCTCAGCCATATTATTTTACGTATTAAAAAGCTGGTCATTTTATAGATTTTTATGTGTTTGTAGTCTGAAAGTCTAGCTTTTCGTCTGCGTCTTTTCTCAAGAATTATGTCATTGGAAACCATGCTCAGATTTTTAGCATCAAGTTTACATTTTATATTCATTTAAAATTAAATTCCAGATGTTTCTCAATAATAAGAGTCAATAAAATATTTTAAATTTAAAACTTCCACATCTAAAGTTGCATTTTGGCTCGCAGAACTGTGTTTCTGTTATGATGCTTGTTAAAACTATAAACCAAGTGCTCGCGAGTATGATACACTCAAATGAACCTAAGTATTTTTCAATGCGTTTGATATCTGATGGAGTCTCAACAGTCAGGTTTAGCTTCTTTAAGTTTTGGATAGCATTCTTTACACCAGGAATATGTTCTGCAAAAGGTTTTACATCGTCAATCTAAGCTATTACAAGCTCATGAAGAATAAACTGCCAATGGGTTCTCTTTAACAATCTCTGCTTGAGCTTTTTTTTTAGTGGCCGTTCATGTTGTTGCCGTTGTCATAACCTTGACAGTCTATAATTAGTATATTGTGTTTTTAATAACACTGTAAATTTATTCAGCAATATTATATATATATATATATATATATATTCAGCTTTTCCTGTTTTCTGATTGCAGTCAACAAACTCTAGATTTTGCTCTTGAATTTCTTAGAGAAAATTTTCTTAATTTAAATGAACATAACGCAATATAAATACAGTTTGTTCCATACGTGCTTAATCAGAGGTTACATCAACAAGTACTGAATAATTTTTTGCTTCTCGTTCACTTTAAATAAGTCTGATGGGGTCTTTTCTGGACAACTACTAACTTCTTCTTTAATTTCAGAAGAAGTTTTTTCTTTCATTTTTTAAACTATTAACATCAAAGTCAAGCAGTTTTGTTTTAATAATATCATCAGCTATATCTGATTTATAGTTCTCAGAAATATTGTTGATAGGAATGAAAACATCACCGTGCTCCACGTAAGCTATATATGATCCACGTAAGCTATATGGTGACTTTCCAGATCCTGAGTTATCAGGATCTGGAAAGTCGCCAGTCATATTAATTAAATCTATACCTTGTTTAGCAATGTTGTCCTTGTTGCTGAAATTAGCCTAATAGATTTAAGAAGTTAGCTGATATTGATTTTCAGAATCTTTTTCTTTCCAAGACACTAAAAATCCGTAACTTTGAAGTAGAGTTTGTTTTATATATATATATATATATATATATATATATATATATATATATATATATATATATATATATATATATATATATATATATATATATATATATATATATATATATATATATATATATATTTATAGACTAATTACTAGTTTTATAATTTTTTTCTTTTGTATATTTTTTATCTGGTTTGTTTTTAACCCCTAGATTTTAGGATCAAGGATGCATGTCTCTCCTACATTGGGCATTTATTTATTTGATTGCTGAATAATATAATCCATATATATATATAGGGTTTACTCGTGTATATGCGAATGAAGTATATCATTAAGAATAAAAATGTTAATCTTTTAATAATAAATCAAAGAAAATCTTTTAATAATAAATTATGTAATAAGTTTAAAACAATATCAGAAAAAAAGAGATTAGTAACTACAACTAACTAAAAACGTAGTTGAAAGTAAATTTACCAATGATTCTTATCTTTTCATTTAAAATAAATATATATTTATATTAGTACCAGGTAGAACAAACAAGCTTGGCAAGGCAGGAAATACAGGGTTGCAGGATACGCATGGTTGAACGGTTAAAGTTTAAACTAATTGGAAGATCTTTTTGTCTTATATTATTAATATTCATACATATTATTAAAATCAGATATTCAAGACTGTTTAAAAATAGGTAAGATTCTAATGCTTAGGTTAACCAAAGATAAAAAATAAGATACTAATACCCCGATAGTTATTAGGTAAGACCAAAGATTTTATTCATGATTAAATAAGTGTATAATGACAAATGACATTTTTTTGAATGATGGATGTTGTTGTTTTATTAAAATTTATTAATAAAACTCATTTCATAAATATGCTCTTAAAATCAACTCAATCAAAATTATTATAAGTTTTATAAGCATATAAGACAGCTTTCCAATCTGTGGATGATAAAAGGCTTTTAAAGTTAGCAATGGAAGCGTTGTTAACTATTCTTTTTAAAACTTTTACTTTTTCGAAAATTTGATTAATTTATATATTTTTTGGTATTATAAAAATTTAAAAATTGCGATACCTGTTATAAATATTCAGATTTCTATGTTAACAAAATCGCTAGCTAAAATTTTATCTTATGAATTGGATCTTTTGTAATTCAATTTTTTTATAGTTGAAATAAAACTGTTTTAATATACAACATTAGGAAATAGCAGCCATGGTGTAGTGATTAGAGCGCTTGCTTTAGAAGCAAGAGATGCCCGGTTCAAAGCGTTCTGGGCATATTTCGCGCCATCGGTAAGGAAGGAGGCGTAAACTTTCTAATTAAATATTTTTCTGCAGTTGTCTGTGACAAGGAGGTCAAGGAGAACCTAAAACAAAAAATTAAAAAAATCTCTAAGCGTTTTTGTTTTCAACACAACCAGCATGTTCAAATTAAAATGTGAGGAAACTATCTTCTCTTCTATTTGCGTAGCTTCTCTTGTTTTTTTTTATTTATCTTATTCTTTTTTCTACAAGTAAAACAAGTTCTACAAGTTTCTACAAGTTTTCTACCAGATAAAAATACTTTTTTAATGTGAAAAAGAAAATGCATATACAAAACTATTACGTATCAGGTTGATAAAAACACATTAAC